GATATGACAAACGCCGCCAATACTATGCACACCATTTTGATAACCTGTCAGTTAACGTAGAAATAAGGATATTTAGATATTGTACAGAAAGCTACAGAATATTCTTAGTATCAATAAAAATAGATATACAAAATAATATTATCATGTTTAGTTTGGTATCATTACATAGCAAATAGATAGCAATAATTAAAATAAATATTTAAAAGCTAATAATATATTAGTATATTAAACAAATAATTCATTTCATGAATGTTGTTTAAGTGTTATAGAATATTATTTTGGCAATTAGATACAAACCAATTATTTTATAAGCAAAATTATAATTAGTTTTTAATTGTTTGAAAATATAACGTCATAACAATACTGTCATACACACCTGTGCAATGATCTAACCCATTATTACGCAAACACAATAGTGTATAAGTATTTAAATAATCAAATAAATATAATAATAGATACATTTATTTGCCGAATAATACGAATTGACAAAAATGCCCAAGGACTAACTGGTGATAATAAACAATAGATTTATTTGTCAATAGTCTGTAACAAATATACTATACTTTACTGTAAATAGGTTTCATTCTTGTTTTGTCTGGATATTTGTATTAATAATATTTTTATGACAAAATATTCTGTATCCAATTATTAGCTAATCCTAGCCATTTCAATTATAATTCTAACAAAACAATAAAATCCCACACGTTGTTATACAAGTTCCGTTGGGAAACATGAAGCTAAAGTTTCCTTTAAGTTACACGAGCCTAAAATGTTATTCAACAAGAAAACAATTGTGTTTAATTAAAAAACAGCCTTTAGTAGAACTTCGCGTTTTATTAAAATGAAAAGTAATATTCTGACACATGCATACATTAGATTAACTTGTTTATTAAATAGCCACGTGAATAGTGTATTAACTATATTTAAGGAATATTCTAATAATATTTATATAAACACAAATATATATATAAATTTATATATACATGTATATATTTACAAGAATTAATCTAAATATTATGTATAAACTCTGTATACTTAAATAATATATAGAGAGGTACTAAATATTAATGCTTTTCGTTACATTTGGCTAACTTTTAATCCCCATTAGATTGCAAATAATACTATTGAATTTAGATATTAAATATATTATTTATACGAATGTGTTTATTTGCATAAGCATTATGGACGAATGCCCTGATAAAAGTCCTTATTGAATTAACAAATTACTTGCATTAACCACGTAAATAATTTACCAAAAATAGCTCAACACAACAAAAACAAAACTACTTATTATTTGCTGCAAATGTCTACAAACACACAAGTATTGAATACTTGAAGATTAATTGAATGCAAGTATAAAACAAATAACAAAAAAATACAGACATAATGTTTATTCTCTATTGACTAACAAAATAAACAATAGACATATAATAAAGAGAGAGAGAGAGAGAGAGAGATTGCTTTCTTTGATCAGGAAATCGATAGTAAATTGTATATAAATCTGGGTTTTATGGAAATCAATTTGACATTTATATTTATTTCGTAAACAATAATAATAAAAATAAAATTACACTATCTTTGAAAAATAAAATTTCTATTAGTGGCCACTCTATCACACCTTCACATATATTGTCATATTTTGTTTAGTTTACACTTTTCACACTTCATACTTATATTTTAGCCAAACATTTGTTGATAAAAATGTAATTATTTTTGACACTTATATCTTTGATGTTTACAGAATATTCTGTAATTTTTTATTAGCTATAAATTTAATATGAAATTTAAACGTGATTTTTACAAGTTTTGAAATTGATATTATGGCAGTTAAACAGCATTTAATATCTATTATATTTAACAAGCTAAATAAATTTTATTTTTATTTCACTATTTAAATCAGATAATGTATTACAATTATCTAGTTTATTTAATATATTTTTAAATAAATTTTTTATGTCAATGCTATTTTTGATAAATCTAGCATATAAATGGTGTCATATCAAACCACACAGGAACATTTTACGGTTTATCATTTAAAAATCCAGTACATATTTAAATGTATGAATATGAATAAATATGAACAAGATAAATTTGTAAATTTATATAAATCATATATAAATAATTTAGAATTTAATTTTAAAAAAAATTTTTGTGTTTGAAAAATAAAATATAAAAGTAAGAAAAATAAATAAACGAAATAAACAAAAATCACATTTTTGTTGTTGACAATCATATAAAATATTTAATAGATTTTGGATTAATAAATTATCCATTAGTGCGTTATAAATCCGTGAACGTCACAGATGTTGTCAAAAACACCTTGTAAACTTGTTTTTATTTACCACAATTAAGTAAATTATCAATATACACACATCTGCTAATATTATACAGACTATAAACATATTAAATTCTATAAATAGGTAATAAAACGCTATTATTATTATAAAGTTTTATATTATTTATTATAAAACATAAATATAATCTAGTATAACTTATTTAACTCAATGTAATATTGATACATGGTGTCACACAAAATTTTATTGTTATTTTACGTAAACATACATTTATAAATAAATACTAAAAAGTTCTATAAACAATCATCTACAATTTTAGGTAATACGTAATTTTTAATGATTATAATAATGAAATTTTGTGTAAATGGTGTTGTTATTTAAAAAAATATTTTTTTACAAAATTTTACACAGTCCTATAAATATTTAGTAAATTTTAATTACAATAATATAATATTAGTTTAATGTAATCTACAGCCTATAAGTGTTTAAATTTGGAAAAGTAATTTTATTATGTGTATAATATAGCGATTGTGCGCTTTTATTATATTTGAGTGAATAGCTTGAGGCAAATATCGCAAACAACCAAATCAAATAAAAGTGACAAAAATAATAAAATAAGATTTTTATTTCCCATTATTCTCATCGAAAATGTTATTACATTAGCGACAAAATTATGTTCAATTTGTCTCTGCTTTATATTAAATGCATTGAAAATTTATGCCAACTTTTCCATCACTTTAATTGTTGAAATTAGTTTTTAATTATTTATTTTGTGTACAAAATGGCAATTACTATATGCTGTACATATTTAGTATACGATTCTACAATATAGTACAATTCATTTTAAAGTGTTTTTATATATTGTTATTTGAACAATCTAAATATTATGATATTATATTATTTATTGGATGTAAAATCCAAATAAAATAAATGGTATATTTATTCTTACATAAAATAACTGATATTTTGAATATATTTTTTATACTTTCGAGAAAAATAGTAGTCATTTAAAATACCTTAAATCTAAAATGTTTGAACGATTTAAACAGTAAACCAGTGAACAGTGTATTACACAATAAAATGATGTTATTTTAAAATATGTTTTCAAAATTGCTTTCTTTGATCAGGAAATCGATAGTAAATTGTATATAAATCTGGGTTTTATGGAAATCAATTTGACATTTATATTTATTTCGTAAACAATAATAATAAAAATAAAATTACACTATCTTTGAAAATTGAACTTACAAAATGCGAACAAACGCCTAATAAATGCACATGATATTAGTTGTCAGACATAGTAATCCACTTTAGTATTGTCTACCGGTATTATCTATGAATTATGTCACTATTATATGGTATAATCTCTGTCTTATATTGAGTTTTATAAATTCAAGTTTAATAAAGTTATTTTGAAATAAATTTCCTGTAAAGTGTATAAATAATATTGATTTTAATAATGTTTTATTAAAATAATTAATTTAATAAATGTGTACTGCATACAAATTTTCATTTCCATATTTGTTTAAAATATATTATTATAATTATTTTCACCTAAAATATACAAAAACTCATTTTAAAAAACTAACACTATGGTAAAATTTGCTATGTATTTGCAGTGACATGTCTGACCTCATCGGTGCTGACACTGTCCGCCATATCGTGCGACCGATTTGTGGCCATATTTTTCCCGCTGAGAGCGCGGGTCACCAAACAGAGGACCGGTCTTGTAATTGGCATCGTTTGGGTCGTATCCCTATTGGTTAGCATACCGTTCCTCATATACCGACAGCACTACACATTTGAGGTATGCATTTATTTTATCATGTAATTATTATTAATAATGATTCATTATATAAGTTAATAAAGTTATTGCGAACTGTGTTTAGCGTATTTGCAAACGTTAATAATTTAACAGAATATTCTGTACGGAGACCTTATTATGAGCGTTATTTGTATACATCTTCTTGAGCATAGTCATTTATTTTAATTTATATAAATATTTTTATAAATACACTACAGTATATAAATTATTTACTCTTTTCTGACAGCTGCATCATCTATTACAATATATTTATTATTAATTTTTAAACAAAATAAAGTTTTGGTTTTAAGTGTAGGGGTAAAAGTCTGGGACATAAAAATGCAATTTAATCGATAATCATATACTGTATAATAAAATTGAATTGAATTCTTCAAGTATTGAATTTGTTTTTATGGCGCAAATTCTTGCCAATCATTCACCCATTATATCGTTTATTTTGTTTTTGCATTTCATGAATATTTGTTTATTTAATTATAAATTGTTTTTTATATTTATTGCACTTGATATTCATCGATGGTTTATTTAGAATGCTTTCTAACACATACAGTATATCAGGGCATACGTGGGTTTTCATACAGTGTTTGCATACAAAACATAAACATAATGTAAAGAATAGTGTGCTTCCTATTTGTTTTGCCCTAGACAATGTATACATAGCATGGTTGTTTTTATACTGTATTTATTATTTACAAATAATATGTATCAAATATTATGTTAAAATACAAAACTAATATAATTAATAATTAAATTTTGCGAAATGTGTACTCGGGATAGTAGTTAGTTATTTTTATACAATGATTTTTAATCATTCTCTCTCTCTCTCTCTCTCTCTCTCTCTGATAATAATCTTTATTTATTAAAAGCCTTAATACTAGAAATATCTTTGTTTTTGTGTGGGTTTCTTACCATTGAGCCAAACTAATACTTGAAGAATTCAATTCAATTTTATTATACAGTATATGATTATCGATTAAATTGCATTTTTATACAATGATTTTTAATCATTCTCTCTCTCTCTCTCTCTCTCTCAAATCAAATCAAATATTTAAACGCATCAAAAAAAATTATTTTGTTTGAGATTTTGCATTTTCCTTACTCTATATAAAACACAACAACAACTTTAATCTATTATTATAAGAAAATAATTAATCGTTCATTTCATGGATACTAATGGCACAGAATTTGAACAATTTTAGTGTTAAGAAAATACTCAAATATAAATTAATAAAATAACACAATTATATATAAGGGTTGGAAAATCTTTTATTACATACCATAAGATATTAGGGATTCTGATAATTGTTCTCTCTCTCTCTCTCTCTCTCTCTCTCTCTGATAATAATCTTTATTTATTAAAAGCCTTAATACGAGAAATATCTTTGTTTTTGTGTGGGTTTCCTACCATTGAGCCAAACAAAGCAATCTATGGACACAACTACTCCTTGTAATGGATATAAAACTTGTGAAAGTCTTATGGGAAACATATATTCTCCTTCATCATCATCTCCATCGTTGTTCACAAAACAATTTTTGTCAAACAATTCATTTATGGTATTAATGTTTGCCTCAGAAATATGTCCACAAAAACCACAACAATTTTTTTGTGACAAAAAATAAATAAATTGCTGAATAACGGCCTAAACGTGTTAATCGTATCGCTTGACACAATCTATGATAAAAAAAATACATTTTATCTAATGTTTTATTTTCTCGTTAAAAAAATATGTTTAGATATTTACAACACACATGTGTTGCTAACGATTAAACAATGGCACAGACTGTGAGTACAGGGGAGATAGGGTTGGTTTGATGTCAATGTTTTTTAAGCAACATATTATTTTTTTTGTTTAGCTGACAGATTATAACAGAATTAAAATAATTACTACACCTCACCATAAATTAAACAAAAAATTTCATTTATACAGAATATTCTTTAGTCTCCAAACTCTTGTCTACAATAAAAAGCAACAAATAATGAGAGATTATCGGGTCTGACAGGTCAGGGTAATCGAGATGAATTATTATTATTATGATTACACACATTCCCTTTAGGGTACGTTATATTATATAACAAAATGCATTGTTTTCTGATTTAATAGCAAATCCAATTATTATTTGTGTGACAATTAAATCTATTATTTCATCAACGATTGCAAATCCATGACAAGCAAAAACATTATTAATCCCAACAATTCTTACAAATATCTAATCTAAAAACTAATCTAAAAACTAATCTTACCATATATTTCATACTCGACACTCAACTGTCGCTATTAGTGGCGCGACTACATCGAAACGAATTGCGTGGAGAGTTGGCCGTCGGTGAGCGTGTACTCGGCGTCGGCGGGCGGGTGTGTGAAGACATACGTATCTAAACAGATATACTACACGTTTGTGACAACAACCCTATTCTTCCTGCCGGTGGCCGTAATGATCACCGCATACTCACTCATTGTGTGGCGCCTATGGGTTAATCAGATGCCCGGCGAACGCAACCAAACAAACGTGTCCGTCCATAAAAAGGCCAAGAAAAAAGTAAGTAACATGCTCGTTTTTGTTTGTAAACTTTAGTTAGCATGTTGATACAGGTATATGTTAATTAATTTATATTTTCCAATTCTCTCTCTCTCTCTCTCTTCTCTCATTATATATCTATTGTTTATTTTGTTAGTCAATAGAGTATAAGAATTATATTTGTATTTCTTGTTATTTGTTTTATACGTGCATTCAATTAATCTTCAAGTATTAAATACTTGTGTGTTTGTAGACATTTGCAGCAAATAATAAGTACTTTTGTTTTTGTTGTGTTGAGCTATTTTTGGTAAATTATTTACGTGGTTAATGCAAGTAATTTGTTAATTCAATAAGGACCTTTATCAGGGCATTCGTCCTTAATGCTTATGCAAATAAACACAATAACACATTTGTATAAATAATATATTCAATATCCAAATTCAATAGTATTATGTGCAATCTAATGGGGATTAAAAGTTAGCCAAATGTAACGAAAAGCATTAATATTTAGTATTTCTCTATATATTATTTAAGTATATAGAGTTTTTACATAATGTCTAGATTAATTCTTGTAAATATATATTCTTTATATATAAATTTATATATATTTGTGTTTTTATAAATATTATTACAATATTCCTTAAATATAGTTAATACACCTTTCACGTGGCTATTTAATAAACATGTTAATGTTAATGTATGCATGTGCCAAAATATTACTTTTTCATTTTAATAAATGCTAAGTTATACTAAAGGCTGCTTTTTAATTAAACACAATTGTTTTCTTGTTGAATAACATTTTAGGATCGTGTAACTTAAAGGAAACTTTAGCTTCATGTTTCCCAACGGAATTTGTATAACAACGTGTGGGATTTTATTGTTTTGTTAGAATTATAATTGAAATAGCTAGGTTTAGCTAATAATTGGATACAGAATATTCTGTCATAAAAATATTATTAATACAAATATCCAGACAAAACAAGAATAAAACCTATTTACAGTATAGTATATTTGTTACAGACTATTGACAAATAAATCTATTGTTTATTATTAAACAGTTAGTCCTTGGGCATTTTTGTCAATACTTATTATTCGGCAAATAAATATCTATTATTATAGTTTATTTGATTATTTAAATACTTATACACTATTATGTTTGCGTAATAATGGGTTAGATCATTGCACAGGTGTTTATGACAGTATTGTTATGACGTTATATTTTCAAACAATTAAAAACTAATTATAAAATTTTGCTTATAAAATAATTGGATTGTATCTAATTGCCAAAATAATGTTCTATAACACTTAAACAACATTCATGAAATGAATTATTTGCTTAATATACTAATATATTATTAGCATTTAAATATTTATTTTAATTATTGCTATCTATTTGCTATGTAATGATACCAAACTAAACATGATAATATTATTTTGTATATCTGTACGAAACCCTGGCCAGTGGGTCTCGGTTGGTGCGGCTGTCACTCGCGAGCGTGAGAGTGGCAGCTGTTATCGGTCGCAACGGTTCGCTTATTCTAGGCCCGAAGCCTTTCCGGTTAGTGTCAGCTCCGAACGCCGGGACTGACGGGTTATCTTCGGGCGAGTGGTGCTCCCACTCGCTGTTGTGGTCGGCAGTGATACTCTCACTCTTCGGATCCTCTCCGGTCAGTAGCCGGCGTGCACTCCGTCCGCACACTCACGCACTACTGCAGTGGCGATGCTCTCACCACACGCTTCTACGCCAACGGCCAGCGGTGTCTTCGACGGCCAACAGTGGTGACCAACGGGTGCTCCCCGTTGTGGTGAACCAAACCTCGGAAGGGCGCCCTCGGGAGGTGTCACTGGCGTAGAGGCGTTGAGCCCAAGAAGTGTGACCAAACACTTGCGTTAAAACAACGTTAACTTTATTAGGCCAAAGCCAAAGGGACTCTAACTGCACAGCAGAGAGAGCACGCCTTATATAGGGGATAGAGAGGGGCGTATATACAGTACGGATAGTTGGGGTTATTCCATAAAAACTTATAAAACATTTAGTATTTAAAAACTTAAAACTCTGAGCTCATAGCTCTGTACACCAGAGGTGGCACATATCTATTTTTATTGATACTAAGAATATTCTGTAGCTTTCTGTACAATATCTAAATATCCTTATTTCTACGTTAACTGACAGGTTATCAAAATGGTGTGCATAGTATTGGCGGCGTTTGTCATATCATGGATGCCATTGCAGGTCATTGTCTTGTATTCACTGTTTGGACACTCGGCTAACGATTCCGGAGAAGTAAGTCGTGATTGAAAAGTGAAATAAATTATATAATATTTCAATTTTTATACTTATTTTTTACATAATGTTAAGCATTAGTAAATGTTTTGTCTCCAGAATCTCGTGTGAAATGATTTGAAAGATTTGTTCACTTTTTTAAGACGAAAGGGAAAAACTCAGTTTCCGAGTTTTAATTACAAAATCAATTTTTCGTTTATTAAATGTATTATTTAATCAATTAATCGATACATAAGTGTATATAACAGTACTGTAAGTTTGGAATTAGTAGTTATTTTCCATATTAGATATTTTCTAATTAATATTGATTTTAATATTATGCTATAGTTAGATATTTTGTTTGCAAAACATATTTTTACAATATTTATATACTATATAAAGAGAGAAACAAAGAAAGAAAGAAAGAGAGAGAGAGAGAGAGAGAGAGAGATTATATACTATATAAAGAGAGAAAGAAAGAAAGAAAGAAAGAAAAAGAGAGAGAGAGAGAGAGAGAGAGAGAGAGAGAGATTATTTATAAATACAAAGCTTTAATATTTTTAAAAATCCTTTACGCAAACAAATACATTTAGGGATTATTAAGGGTACTTACATATGCTATAGAATTTGTTTTGTACCGGAATTTGTTTAGTTATATTATATAATGTGCCATGTTGTTTGTTAGCTTAATTGCTATACAATTGATACAAAACAACCAAACACTTTACAACCTATTAAAATATATTTTTCTAGTCAATAACATATTTTATGAATAGAAAAATAAGATTATTACATTTGTGAATGATTGAACAGAATATTCTGTAATTCTTAAATAAATACTATATATTGAATAAAGTAATTATAACAAGCTTAATATAAATACCATATTTATTTATTATAGTTACCGAAGTGGTTCTCGAGTGTATCATATTTCGCCACTTTCATCGCCTATTCAAACAGCGTATTCAACCCAATAATATACGGGGGTTTTAATAAAAACTTTCGTCAGGCCTTGTGCTCGATATTCCGGTGCGAGAATAAACTCAATCTCATTATACATCGTAAACGTAAGTATATATTAAATACAAATTAGTTTTTTGTATTCAATTTATTATTGGATTTTTATAAGACTTACTACCGATAGTAAAAGTAAATATACTGCATGTTTACCCCAACGAGAGAACGTAATGTTAATTTGTTAAACTAGTAAATAAAAGGTGGTGAAAATTGTTTACTAAACAACAATGATTATAAATTAAAATTCCCAGAAATGGAAAATTGAATCTTTTTACGAGATTCGCAATTCAATTAAGTCTCAAATATCACAAAATATCTAAATATAGAATTTTTCTGAGAATTTTTACAGAATATTCTGTGACTGTTAAAAATGATTTCATATGGTGTCACATACAGTACATAAAATTTTGTATAATGTTATCAATTATATTTTTGACCATTATAGTTAAAATTATTTATCATTTTTTGCGCACAAAATATTCTGTTGTATTTATCAAGAATTCAATATACAGTATATTGTTATTAATTTTTTTTATAACAATGTGTATGTGTTTTGAATTTAATTTCAATAATTGTTTAGCGGATAATACTCTGAACGCCAGTAGTTTTGTTAATGAATTGCCACTTATATAATGGCATACAATTATATAAAGTATACTTAACAACACATACTGTACTCATATGTACATATAGATTGTTGTATGAATTGTTTTACAGGCTTTTTATTGTATTTACAATTTTAATTAAAATTTAATTATAATGTAGAGTAAGATGTAATTATATTTAGAGTTTGGCTATTGTTTAATGTGTTTACAAAATTAGATTAAATTTTCGTTTTATATTCAATGTATGTAAAAGTATATAACGTTTAAATATCCGGTTTGAGAATAAAGTACATTAAAAGGTGTACACTATTGGCCGTATTTCTAGTAATTTATTTTCTGAATTTTATTATTTGAAATTTTAAAAAATAAGTTTTTTAATGGATTTTAAAATTTGATTTTCATTAAAAGCTGTAATGAATTATTGATTTAAGAAATAACTTATTTATATAGTATATGAAATGTTTGCTAAAATGTTTGTATAGTTTTAAGTCTAGATTTAAGTTTAAATTCTAAGAGTGTGTAAAACAGCTGTCAATGTATTGCAATACAAAAGGGCTATCAATGAGAGTGTGTATAAAACATGAGCTCAAAGAGTGTGTATAAAAAAAACTATAGAAAAGTACCATGGTACAAAACAGCGCTGAGTTTGTAAATTAAATGGTTAACCAACAAAATAATGATCATTAAAGGTGTTTAATAGCCCAAAAAGTCCTTTTTGCTTTTTTTGTGTGCACAGAATACACACGCATTTAATTGATTACATAATTATTTTACAAACATTTAATTGAAAAAAAAATTAATGAAAATTTTATTTTTCTTGTTTTCCTTCAACAGACAAATCGCCGAAGAAGTCGTCTGTGTTTACGGCCACGACGTGGTCACCCAATACTAACCGCCGCAACAAAAATATACTCAACAACACGTTTAAGACGGATGTGATTGAACTCAATAACATGGATAGTGTTGTCAATTGTTAGGGCGTATAGAGAGATAGGGCTGGTCTCACACCAGACACCCCTAACCCCTCTCTATCCCACTTTGAACACCACAATAGGCTTATCACGAAAGCCATTAAAAGCATACTTCCATATATTTGTACACATTTTTAGTGTTAAAATGGTTACAGAATATATAAAGAATATTCTGCTCTCTTGTGTTATACATAGGATTTGTGTATAAATTAAGTAAAATAATTTAAGTATATTTTTTGCGCATAAAAACTCATCACATATTTATATCATTAATCAAAATACAGCGTTTAATGTTTAATGTAATAATAACATAAATGTTATACATTTTATTATAAAAAATTAATTTATAACTATTATTAAACAAAACAAAATTTTCGTATAAAGTAATTATATGTAAAATATAGTAAATGCTTGATATGTGTGTTGTATTCAAAAACTAATTGTGTCGCTATTTATACGGACAACTAAACTAACTGTCGGTGTGTTTATTATACGAATTTAAACATAAAATAATTAATATTAAAATCGTGAGCTTAACCTTAAACCTTTTTTAATATAAATTTACATTAATGAAAGTTACGATAAATACGTTAAATTATTTGGAAATTTAAAACCAAACTTATATTTTGTTCATTTGTTGTGTTTGTTTATATCATTTGTTGATCCCATTGAGAGCCGGTCTCTGAGACATAAGCCCTTAAGTACTGTTTAATAACTAATGGATATTTCATACGGTATGTCATGTGTGGGCAAAATGGCCAGAAATG